GAATCTTCAGTGGCTGATGTTGAGAGCACAAGTGTGTGTTGGTGCCCAGACAACAACAACCTCACAGGGGGTAACAGAAGACAACACAAACCTTTTCCACGTTGTGTTTGATCATACCTTGCCCAAATCAACTGACAGGTAGGGCAGAGAGTCCTCGTGGGGATGGTGTTGGAGAAACGTGTCCCGTCCTATGCTTCTTCTTCAGATCTAATCCCAGGTGGATCTGCCAACATCTGGCTATTGCTTAGGAAAAAAAAGAACTTTCTCACCCTTTGTGATGTCAGGAAAGTGTCAGAAATCACTGGAATGGCTTTTGCACTCTTGGAATTCCATTTCTCTTTCCTTCTCAGTTCCTGGATTCACATCTTGGTTGTGTTCTCCCTTCAGGTATGTGAATTTTATGTGCTGTTCTCAGCACTGATATCTTTATCTTATTTGGAATGGAAGCTCTTCCAGCCCAGGTCTAGGCCTTTTTCTCTGAAAAGAGTAAGTTTATTTATCTCCCTATGTTCACCTACCAGAAATATTCAATTTTCATGTCCTTATCTGTCAAAGTGGAAGCAAGTTATAAGAGAGGAGGAGACAGACCATCTCCCTAATTCACAATTGGATTTGCACACACATGCCTGTTGAGAAAAGGATGGGACCGTCCTCTTGGCATGACCAGGGCAAACAGAAGGTTATTTATTCATTTCTGCTGCTCACTGCTCCCAGAAGCTGTGCCACAGATTGGGCTGGACAAAGGACTCGTAAAGTGCTGCAGACCTCAGAGTTCATTCATTTCTCTCTCTCCTTAACTCTGTCCTAGATTTTTTTTTTTTAGTGACTTTGGGTGCCAGAAATGGCCCCAGGGATTGTGACCTGCCTGGACTCTGCTGGTCAGTGCAGATCGGATGTGAGCTGACCCATTTCTGTCACGCTTTTGGAAGGTGCTGGGGGGTTGTGCTGCTTCAGCCAGCAGAGCAGTGCAGTAGGAACAGGTCTGTAAAAAGAGGGTTTCGGAGCCAAGGACCTGACATCAGCACTGTAAACACTTCAGGGGCTTAATTTAGACCAACTCTTCAAAGAAAACTGGGCTTTTGTTGTTTTCATTGTATATGGATGTAAATAACAGCGTGAAATTAAGGGCTGCCCAGGCCCAGGTCCTTCCTAAGCCATCATGATCACAGCTATCATTAGCAAGTTTTAATTAAACTGTTTCCACAGCATGGTAGTGGCCAAATAACATGTAGAAAGAGCAATAATAGGCTGTGATCCAGAGAAACTCACAGAAATTAGTGTGTGACGCTCAGTGTACACTTATTTTTGCAGCAGGCACCACAGCAGTGCATGTGGGCTGGAGGCCAGCACTCCATTAAATAAATTTGCCTTTTCCTGTAAGAAAAATGCACAGGAACAAGTAACTATTTACTAGGACTTGACATAAAGACCAGGGAAAGATGCCCATTTTGAGCTTTGGGTCATGTTTGATGTCCACAGTACACAGGACTAAAAGTCTGCAGTATCTGGGGAAGGGTTTTGGTTTGGCTCTCAAGATGTGGGCACAGTTTGGGCTGCAGTGCCTCAAACCCTTGTAACACCAGCTCCTGATCTGATGTTGAGCAGCTTGGAAGCCTGATGGAGGATTCCCCCCCCACCCCTCCCGAATGCTTTACACTCTTGATTTTTGCTCCATTTTTTCTCGTTGCTGTGAAATTTAATCGTGTTTTCTAGCCCTTTAGGCCTCCCAAAGTCCAGCAGCTGCATTCTCATCTGGCTTGAAAGCTTATCCACATACTTCTGAACCCCAAACAGGGATGGGGCCCGAGAGCCTCTCTGTTTAAATGAAGCAAACCAAGCCCAAGAGACAGACTGAGAAGCCCTTTCCACTATGCAGAAGGGAGATTGCCCACGATAAAACACATCAGGGCAGACAAATGCATTTAGAAAAATCTCCTCGGGAGTCTTACAGGTAAACTAGCGCTGTAGGAAACATGAGCCCAGCTTTGCACAGGCATTAAAACTGGGTTTATTTTAATGCACAGAGATTTAAATTGGCTGCAGAACAATTCTGGTGCTGCCACAAGCAGGGCATGTCTTAGCATACAGAAAACAGTGATTTGCTGCAGCACAGAGGAGCTGAGCAAGCCCTGTATTCCCTCCGGTCTGGTTCTATCTCTTTAGCTTGTCTAACATTGAAACCATGATGCTAATCTGTCTATTTATCCCTCCTAACAGAGCAGCCGTGTTGCTATTATGGTCCTTAATCCCTCAGCATAATTCACATAGTTGTCAGATAACAAGGCAGAATGGCCAGGTGGTAGCAGTGCATCTATTTGGTGTGGACTCTCCCGGAATACACAAGTTAAATTATTCCTCTTCATCTCACCCTACAGCTCAGAGCACCCTCCTGATGCTCTCAGCAGCATCTTGAACCATTTTAAATGTATATGTTTACCCAGGAGACAGGGCAGGGGTTGTATTGTCATTTGGGAGAAAGGAAACTGAGGAATGGTGGTGAATATAAAAAAGATGTGAAGCCCTTAGAGAGTGTCCAGGGAAGATGGGGAAGGACCCTGAGGGGAAGGTGTGAGGACACTGAGGGCACTTGGTGTGTTCAGCTGGAGAAGAGACTGAGGGGAGAGCTCAGTGCAGTTCCAACTGCCTGGGCAGGGGCAGAGGAGGGGCAGGACTGAGCTCTGCTCTGGGGGGAGCAGGGACAGCCCCCAGGGAATGGCTGGAGCTGTGTCAGGGCAGGCTCAGGGTGGATCTCAGCAAAAGGTTCTTCCCCCAGAGGGTGGTTGGCACTGAACAGGCTCCCCAGGGCAGTGGGCACAGCCCCAAGG